AATAGTGTGTTTCGTAATTTTATCAGCACGCTGGTGTCTATAATAAGTCGCGAAGTCACGTTGTTGATATTTCCTTGCCTTCATTTTTTGAAGATAGACAAATTAGACAGATGTCTTGTTTTGCACCCGCTAAGTCTTTCTCCACCGATGGAAAGTTAAAAAGGACTTCGTACATTTTATACGAGTTCAAAAGGCCATGACGAAAAGATGGGACAGTATAAAACTAAAATAAATGGCCCAAATATAATAGAAAAAAAAGGCCTATAGAGAGAAAAGGAAAGAAGTAGAAAATTTCCTAAAATACGATTGTGTCCATGAGTGTAGACAATAGGGGAGGAAGCTGTGTTCATTTGCAAAAATTAGTGTCTTAAAAAGCAAACTTAAGCTAAGTTTAAAAAAAAAATTCTTAACATAGCAATGTGTTTGTTTGCCTTTATCTTGAGACCTAACTTCAAAAGTCACATAACATCACATAAGTGTACATATTATTTTAATTAAAGTAGCATTAACTATTAGCGTTCCCAAAAAATTCATGTATATTTCAGAAACACAGCATTTGACAAAATCATAAATGCATACACAGTGTGACAGCACATCAGCAAAAATAAATAAATAAAATATACAGTTCTTTTAATATTATGTAAATATAACATTTATTTGTTAATTTAGCCGTCGTAATTTATTTTAGTACTAGTATAACAAATTTAGGCACATGGTATTTATGTTTGCTCATACATGGAAAACATTTAGAAATTTTCGAAAGGCAACTCGCACTTTTTTCCTTAGTAAATTGTTCAGCATATTGCAAACAAACGATAAACGGCGTTGGAAAGATACACCTATGACGAAAATTGCTGGCGTAAATCATTTGTACATTGTAAAAGACCAATGATAACACAAGGCGTGAAACGGGGGGGGGAACTTATATCAATTACAAGTTTTAAACGTGCCCATCTTCGCAGACGGAATCGTATGGTATGTGGCAGATTGTTGATAACAATGGCAAACATAATATCGCACGACGAAGCTATATTCACGTTTTGTGGCATCTTTCAATTCTGAGAAGCCTCTTGGATTTGATGCGTACAGCCTAGATTTCAGATAACCCCAGAATCAAAAAGCCATCGCAGTGAGGTTGAGGGATCTTGGTGATCATCCACCAGCAACCTCTCAAGAGGAGTTTCGGCTCACCACATATTTAGAATGCTCCTGTGCCACACAGACACTATACAATTAAAAACCTCCATGCCTTCTCTGGGATTCGAACCCTGACCCTTCGGTACGGCACTCAGGGTCGCTAACCACTACACTGGTTGGGCGGCTACAAAAAGTTTATATTTTTCGTTATCTAATATGCAACAAAACCAGAAGTTATGATAATCATGTACAATTTGTAATACACAGCTATTCTAATATTACTATTAACGAAAGATTTAAAGCATCGAAATATTTTGCAAAGGAAATTTATTTAATTTCAGAATTATCAAATTAATTCATTAGTATTACGATAATGCAATTTTAGAATTTCTTCTAACACATTACTTAAACGGATTATCAGGATTAAGTATATTTTCGTCGAAAAGCTCATGGTACTGAAGAACATTATACATTGCATCTGTTTAAACCTGTTTAAGAGATACTTACTGCTTGTGTAACATGTGTTGTATACGATATATAAATAAACAAAATTGTAACATCTATGTTATGTAAAAATTGGCGCATTTTTTGTCCTTATGTAAATACTGATACTTAGTTCAAATAATTTATCTCGAAATTAATGCTACAACTATCGTAAGTTAAGCCTCAAATATTACACCATGCGTCCTTTCAAGCAGAGGGGGTCGGATGAACTTCTCATTCTCTTTTATACTATTGTGTGGGTTGCGTCATTCGTTATTCCCGTTATTTTTAATATGCAATTCTTACATGAATAATTACTTCATTCGTTTTTATATGGTTAGTAATTTTAGAAAGATTTGAGGTGCATGTGATTTGAATGTTTTGCAGCTTACCAGTTTATATATGAACTTTTAAAAGCTCGGTTAGAGTAATTATCAGGTATCTGAATTCAAAATAAAGACTCCATAATATGAATTTTATGCAACTAATTATTTTGTTTATTATACTTCATATCTTGCTCAGATTTATATCCATATTTTTGAAACAGAGTGGGCTGTTCGACTTTTAAGCTAGAACTAAACAGCTTTTTCCGAAGAGGAAGGTAAAAAACTATAACTAGTTTCTTTAGCCATAAACGAATTAATTAAAATAAGTTTTTAAGTGTAATCGTCAGTTTCATTGTATAAGTCGTTCATTACATAAGTAAGGAATTCATTATATTTTTATAGTACAACTTTATCCCTGATTAATATAGCATTATTAAATCAATTTATAGCTTGTGTCTCATTTGTTCCAACATGTAATTATTTAATTTTTAACAAATTTTAAGTTGCCTTGATGATTTATTTCTTTTCTTCTTCAGCCCTAAATTTTTAAAATTAGACTGCAACTGTATGTTGGGTATGAACATGATGCATCATCGAAATCCAATCACATATATCATAATAACCAATCATGTGTATATATATATATATGTGTATGTATAATTTATTTACTAAAGAAATATTGATTATATTATCTCCTAATAATAAATTTAGTGAAATGTATCAAAATTAGGGAACCCAGAAGTATGAAATTTAGTTCCAAAAATTGTTTTTTAAAAGGAACTTGAATGTAAATCATGGAAAAAAGCTCTTTAAGGGGACTTGAATTTAAATCGTAAAAAAGATTTATAAGGTATTTGTATTTAAATCAAGAATAACAAAAATTCAATTTTTGAAAAAAAAGTTTAATAAACCAAGTAATTATCGTCATCATTGATCGGAAATTAGTTAAACAAACCAACTTCCGTTCAATGAATAGTAATTAATAAATGCGAAAATGTTTCTTCTTTTATTCAAGTAAGAATGAAGATGCCGAAGTGGCAAATTTAGTTAGGCCAAAATTGTAGTTCAGTTGAGTGATTGGATTTTTAGAAAACTTGAGACATTAAAGCCAAATTAGAGTACCAAAGAACTCATTCTGAATGTAGCATTTTCGCTAAGACAATAGAATCTTTAGAAATTTTGAGTGTAGCAATTTGTAGTAAAATACAAGACACTTGAGTAATCCCCCCCCCCACACCCTCGCTTTTATGCATGTTAATTCCAGACATTTTTAAAAAATAATAACGTAGAACTAACTGGAATTATGAATAAAACTCAAGCAATTGAAATAAACTGAAACCAATAAGAACTAATAATAATAATAATATCGAATAATAACGTTCTAATCTTTGCAAAACAAATGAAAACAAGTTGAAAAATTAAAATATGTATATTAAAAAATAACGAAATGTACAATGTGAAATGTACAGGAAATACAAAAGGCCAGAATATGAATTAATTAACTTACATTTTTCTAGTGGGATGTCGCTAATGCTCTTCTTTTTCTTACTTACTCAGAAGGGGTGGTATAGGCCAACTATCAGAAATTCCGTTATCAGCAGTGGGGATACTTTGAGTTATTACAGGCGGTGAACTATTGAGAAGCTATTTTTGGTAAGTGAGAGGGACTTTGTATGTGGGAGGGAGGTTACTACAGAGTTCTTATGTGAGTGAAAACGTCTGTTAAATTTTGAATATACTAACTAGTAAATGAAAATTAATTAATTTCTGGCTAATTGTCGAGGAAGAAAAGAAGTAAAATAGTAATTTTCGCTGCCAACGATTTATTTGGCAGACTACAGAGTATGAAATAGACTCATTCTTTTTATTGAAATGAAACGACCGTCAGTGCCAAAAGAGACATTGTGCCATTTCTTCCAGGAATATTACCAACACTGAATCAAGTATCAGAAGCCATTTCGAAGATGAATCAGGTGTAAGTTGTTCCATTTCAAAGAAAATTTAGTTAGGAAACTTACAATAATGCCGTAGAAGCACTTTCCGCTAGATCTTTGGATATTGAAATGTATACATGTACCACATATTACATTGGCCTTATCCATCTCAGCCGCTTACGTTTGCTTTACCATCATCAGACAATTATTTCGTTCCTTTCCTTTATTTATTAGAAAGCACTACAGAAATATAATTAAATACGAAACGGATATTTATACTTATTACTTAAATCGATGTATGAAACCTGAAATGAAAACACTGACACGTTGCTTAACACTTTTTTTTTTTTTTTGGCTATTTAGAAGCATTATTAAAAGGCATTCTGCATTAGTCCATCGCAATCATAAACAACAGAGAACTGGAATAAAAAATATTCGCTAAGCGGGGGGGGGGGTGTCTGCGAAGACTTACTCCTATTCGGAACTAAACGTTTTCGTTGTTTTTGTTTTTCCGTGATGTAAAAGATTTCTATCAATTTTAAGATTAATAGTCCACATTTAGGGAATAATATAGTATATTTTTTCCTCCATATGTTTTTAAATTTTTAAAATTTTTTCTTGTATTTCCAAGTGGCAAATTTCTATAGATTCTCTGTTAATCCTTAGATAACTAGATTAGTATAACAGTATTAAAGGATTCAGTTATCTTGATAGATATCTGGTTGCGAAGTTAACTACGAATGAATATCTCTTGAGGAACGAACTTTGATATATTAATGAGATGACTATTTTTAAATAACAGTATTAATTTATAGAACCTGTAATCTAAAACTAGATGTGACATCATACTTTGAACCAAATAGGTAATGAGACCAGTAACATTTGGCATTAAGATTAAATCATAGTTTCAATTTCTGTTAGAAGAAAATACATTCAGCATCTGAAGAACTACTTTATAACATTGAGCAATAAAACACATATAATTTCTTTTTTAAGAGAAAGGACGACTGTAAAATGTAAGAAAATGTTAGCCCATAAATGTTTAGTTACTGTATTGGTTGGGAAAGTAAAAGTTTGTATAAATACGTTTCTTTAGGAATCAAAATGTAAATTTGCTTACCAACAACTGATACGTATGTAGATGATGATGCAGTCTCTCCTTCACTGTCTCTGACCACACATGTGTATTCTCCTTTATCTGCTTCTGGTTCAACACTTTGGATAGTCAAACTACCACCATGATTTATCTTTTGGCGATGGTTAAGAGGCAGCAGAATTCCACCTGATTATAAACCATAATTGCATAGTTAGTTTACATGAACATTCATTAAAATTCCAAACTGCTAATAATGAAAACCATTGCGTCTGAGTTTTAAATAAAACATAAGAAATCAATACACTGCGTCATTATACTCGTGTATTGAACTGTTCTATAAAATCTGATGTAAAAATTTGGAAACGGATCATTAAATTTCTTAGGTTTCATTAAGCTAACGCAGGAAATTTCCTCACTTCTATGTTAATTATTTAAGGCTAGCTTGAAACTGTTGGAATTATCATGCCCTTTCATTAATATACTGTAGCAAATAATGAAGTTTGAACTTGCATCAGGAAGAGAAGAATATTTACTTTATTAAACATTTGGTACAATATTCTTACCAACAACTGATACGTACTAGTAACAAAATCATATATTAAATTTATTAAAATAAAAACAGAAGTAAACTTTTCTTCTAATTTTTAGTGCAAATATAACACATGTTACCAGCTGCTCTTAAAAATTTTCTATCAGAATTTTCACTAAACATGATTCTTATGACGAGCCCCATTAGATACAGTCAGTGTCCCTCATGCTCCGTCGTAGCTAATTAATGAAGGGGGATTCTTATGAATCTGAATCTGAAACATTTCTTTTGCGATCAGGCCTCGATTTCCTAGAAACTTTACCTGTCATTCTTTATAAGTACCTGTGGCCTTTCGCTTTGATCGGTATAAAAATGGTGCGTAATACACAGACACCCGGGGGAGAAAATCAAAAAATGAAGATACATTCAACCTTCCTTGGATAAGCAATTTATTATGATATCGCAATGACAATCGATTTTTTTGGGGGGCATAATCAAGAAGGCATTTGCAATTATGACAGGAGAGTGCACTTATGAAATAGCATAGCAATATCATGAAAAGATGGCAGTCATTTTCTATTTAAGATAAATTAATTTATCTTTTCTTCCAAACGGTTTCCTATTTATTTTGTCTAAGTATTCTAGTTTGAAAACGTCGCTTTATTTTTTTTTTACTAATCGCTATATTTTTTATAAATAAAGAACACATGTCCTAAACCATGCGCTGGAGTAGGTAGAGATCTTGAGTCCGGAACTTAGGTTTTTCTCTTTAAATGTACACATGAAAGTTACTTTATTCTATCCAGTTTTACCATCAAAATTAGACCTCTGTTTACGACTTAATCTCGGAAACAGTATAACAAAGGCAGACGCAAAAGGAAACATGCCACCTTTTAGGACACATACGCAACAGGAGCGTTGTAAAAATGATATGAAAACATAATTAATAAGAAACGAAAAAATGAAAATAAAGTTAAAGGAAAAGGAGACGTTAAAATAATAATTCAGAAAGAACATAATTAAAGATATATAATGGGGAAAAAGAGGATTTGGAACTCAGATACAGATTCTGAAACCTAAAATAGTTGTACCTAATGTGCGGAGATGCTTACAGCATGATGAATTAAAAAAACGTGCAATGCTTAGTTTGAGTATGTGGGCATATGTTAAATGTGTGAAAGGAAACAAGCTATCATTTGTTTGTCCTCTAGTAACTGTAGTCTTGATAAAGACTGACCTTTATGTTGATTAGTTAAAGAATTTTTCTGTGCATAAAACCACTTGATATCATTTATTTTGACTAATTAAAATAATAATATTTATCATTTTTTAAAAATTGTAATTCTTATTGTTACTGTTTGCCTCAAATGTGTGACAATGTACCCGAAGTCCGGGACATATTGCAACAGAAGAAAAATTTTTAAAAAATGCTTGTTTTTCTAGGATAAAGAAAACACTGTGGAATGTTTCTTCTTGCATATGATGAATGAATACACAAAACATAATTTTTAATAAAGAAGTCATTTATGAATTAAAAATATAAACACTTTTCCAAATATTGTTAAAACTAACACCTATCTAACGTACGTAAATACTAATAATTACAAATATTTGACAGAATAGTTATTTCTGATCATTATTTTAAACAAATTTTTATCATTACTAATCAATATTTTCATCTTAACTAGTCATCATTCTCGTCATAACTAATCATAATTTCGTGAAGTAAAATTTTATCGACTTATCTTACAAATTAATTTTTAATAGAGAGAATCCATGATCAGCAGATAGTTTATATATAAAAATATTAGAACTATTTTACAATCGTGATCACAGTGGAGAAAGATGATAAGCAGTGAAGCGAGACTTGAAAATTATTTAAGTTTAGTATTAGCACCGTATAATGCCGTTGTCGTGAACATCATTGTGAGTTTAAGAGAAAATAATGAGCGGTTTGTTAAAATTTAGATCAGATGAAAAATCTTTTAATATATAGCATTTTAATACTATTTAGCACAGTGTAATAGGTTCATTTTACAATACTCAACATCCATAGAACGATCGTTACAACGCAGTTCAATCATCCATCTTTTTGAACACCAATCTCTCTCTCGTTGCCATTCCGTAACAGAGAAACTTACCTCTCATGCAGTTTGATCGTGGGGCGACAGCCGTTTTGCTCAACATCGCTATCCATAAAACGAGTCTTAACAATTTTGTTTGAATTGCTGTTATTTATGTGATTAATGCTGAAGTATATAAATCTCTTTCTCGTGATTTATAAATGCAAAAAATTGCAGACAACAGCTTACACTATAAAGCGAAGTTTATCAAATATGGCCAACTTAGCAACGATATCTCTCAAAAGAAATCTTCGAATTAATTAACTGAAAGTAAGTACTTATTTTTAATAATTTAAGCAAGTTTAGCTGCATCTTTGAACGCCTTTCCTATTTATTCCGCTGACATTTTAATATGTTATAAGAAGGAAAAAATTAAAATGCGAGAAAAGACGACAATGACAAATGTCAGTAAATAATGTTAAAATGTAATTAACTTTATTGCTTGTATAATGCTATTTTACAAAGAGCCCTTCCTAGAAGACTTTTAATGTAACCTTTAGTCAAATACTGCATGAAAAATGAGTATTCGTCAGCTCAGAGGTTCTCCAGTAAATTTATCATGAAGTTTAAAATTAATTCTGTCCATTGTAAGAGAAAGAACGTTACTTATAAAAATGCCATTTGTTCTGATCCGCAGAAATCAGATTTATCAACTAATAGTTATATATTTTTAGATTATATAAACACATACCTATATAGTTTATATTTAAAAGTTACATTGTCAGATACGAGATTTAGTGAAAATTTCTATGCAAATGGAAATTTAAATAAAAAATTCGATATATCAAAACTCACACTGGTGAGGAAAAGAAAAGTTATATATTTCTAAGGTTTCTTATATCCTCAACTTTTAAGCAATTTTTTTTTAATTACAAGAAATTTCCATCATTTTCATCATTAACTATTTAAATGACAGCATATTGTGAATTTCTATACGATTACTTTTAGTATCACATTAATGGCAACTACTGTATTGTTAGGAACATTAAAAACTTTCCTCCCAATAGAGCCAAAACGGAAATGCTCAACTATAATAAAAAGTGGATTGGATAAATATAGAGCTATTAAATGTAATGTTACGAATTTGATATTTAAAAAGCTAATGTTAGTTCAATTATAAATTAAATGGTTTTATTTCTCGCGCAGTGCAGCGCGTGACGAATATTAAAAGAAAGCTAAGCCGGAAAATTGAAAATACAAGAGCGCGTGCATTAAATAAATATATATCTCTTTTTGATTTCTAGAAAGTACTGGAAAATTCTAGCGCGTGATTTTAAAAATCTTATAAAGGAGGAAAACATCTCAGTTTGTAGTAGTTGCTTAGTTTGTTGTTGTTTAGAAAACTGCTCTTGTTGATTGTAGCGAATTCGCGGATTAGCGTTCTTTAGCTGTTTTGAATTACGTTCTATTGGACATTTGAGTAGTTAAAAGATAACTACTGTGAGATATTGTAATACTGCATGATAATTTGAGAAAATTTAAGCATTTTTGTTGTGATAATAATAAATTTTTGTTCATTTTTCATCGGACTTGTGCATTCATTTCATAACGAACCCGTACGCACGCAACAATTTTTGGTGTCAGAAGTGGGATTTGAATGCCAATAACAAGAGCGATGGAAGAGCAATTAAGACAGTTAATATCAGCCTTTGCCTCATTTAAAGAAGAAGTTAAGGAAGAAATGAAATTGGGCCAAGATTCTGTTAAAGGAGAGATGAGATCCGTTAAAAAGGAAATGGAAGCCATTCACGAAAAGTTGTAAGCTGGTCAAGTAACTTTTAAAGAAGACATAAAGCTGTACAAGAAAAGATTGAAGCAGGTCAAGACGAAATGAAAAGAGAAATAACCTGCGTAATAGAAAGTAAATTTGAGGCTATGGAAGGCAGAATAGGAGCTGTCGAAAATAAAGTTGGCAAATTGAAGAAAAGTTTCTTCTGTCAAAGATGAAATAGAAGATAGAGTGTCGGCTGTGGAGGCGAACGAGTCGAAGGAAGAGTTTCGGCCTTCCAACAACAAATTGAAGAAAGAGTTTGAGTTTTTCTGCCGTCCAAGGACATATTGAACAACAAATCGAAGACAGAGGTTTTCGCCGTCCAAGGACATATTGAACAACAAATCGAAGACAGAATTTCTGCTGTCGTCGCCAAGAAGTTGACACTTTAAAGAAATTCGTAGCGACGGCAGGGAGCACTTCGGATGGTTTAAAATTTCTTACCCATGCCTGCTCGTTCCTCTCTGAAACTATCGACATATGATGGGAGGACCTCCTGGCAGGTGTATAAGACACAATTTTATATCGTGGCAGATGCGAATGGATGGGATTCCCAAGCTAAGGCCTGTCATCTCGCCGCTTCTTTAAGAGCCGACGCAGCGGATATCCTTCAGACTCTTCCCGAAAACAAAATGTTAGATTTCGAAGCTCTGTCCGGCGCCTTGGAGCTGCGCTTCGGGGAGAAATGTTTAAAAGACTACAGCAGGCTCCAATTAAAATCCCGTCAACAGAAGTTCACCGAAACACTTCAGGAGCTCACCAC